TGGGATGCTGGAGAAACTGCCCAGGCACATGTCTGCCCTAGTTCTCATTCAGGCTTTCTTTGCTGTTCATCCCTGTTTTTTGTAAACTTCATGAATTATAGTGGAATAACTGCACAGAAGTTATCTCCAATTGCTGTGGTTGAGGTCTGAAAGGATATTTGCTGGATTTTTGTTTTACTTTGTTTGAGACAGAGTCTCCGTATGTTAGGCCAGGGTGGCCTCGAACTCTCAACAATCCTCCTGCCTCAGCCTCCTGCGCCAGTGCTGGAATTCCAGGCATGCACCACCATGCGGGGCTTCAATTTGCTGCCTTTTTACAGCCGCACTGTTTTCTCTGTTGGGATCACAAATGCTTAACTCCTTCTCAAGGTGGTTACTTGTAGAACAAAAGAAGGGAAACATGTTTTCTGTAAGGCATTTGACAGACTCCCGTGATACCTTTATGATGGACAAGGTGGAGAACACTATGTGGGTGGAACATTTGCAGTCAACGGAATAACTATCCGGAAGGCGCAGGCTGTCATTCTGCACAGGACTGATGGGCTTAAGAACTGGATCAGGTACAGGAAATGCGGAAGGAAGAGCAGGCTGGGGTGGAGGAGTTAGGTCTAGCCCTGTCTTGGATGTGTAAGTGGTCATTTCGGGTTGAATATAATGACTTGGGGGTGGGGTCGGGAGGGGGAAGGGAAGGCGGGGGCTGGGAATAGGGAGAGAACTAGTTACATAACGAACACTTATTAAGTAATAACCACCTATGTAGCAGATGCTATCTAGCCATTGGGCATGTTGTAACTCAGGGGCTCACACAAACCATGTAAGAGTTTTCCCATTATGATCTCCATTGTGCAGATGAAGAACTGAGAGCAGAGAGGTGATCACTTTCCCCATGCAGCCCAGCTGGTACGTGGTAGAACGGAGACCGGAATCCTGCTTAGCTATGGAGGACCTTGAGTCGTAGGCATAGTTGAGTTGGTCTGGTTACACGTATGAGCTGAGGCTTATCAACTCCTAGAGAATCTATGTCATTGTGGTTCATTTCTAGATCGCCTCATGTGATCACTTGGAAGGGGACTGGATTATGGGGGTGATAGAGCCCACTTCCTATTAGGAGGCAGGTTTGGCCGGAAGAGGCAGGTCACTGTGGGCGTGACCTGGACGGCCGTGGCTCCTTCTCTGGCTCCTCCCCTCCTTTCCTCTTCTTCCTGTCTGCCAGGCCCCGAGTATCTCCCCTCTGCCCAGGCCCTTCCACCATGCTCTCGGCCTTGGAGCCAGCAGACCAGGGACTGAAACCACGGCATACCGCGAGCCAAGATAAACCTCTCCTCCTCTCCGTTGGGGGTGCTGGGTATCGTGTCCCAGAGACGTTGAACTGAGATGTATGTGTCCAGAAAATAAAAGCCAGACCTTCTGTTATAGTCAAACCTCGCATTGTGTTTAACTTGTTCTGTGAGTGTTCTGCAAGATAAGCAAATAGCTCTGATAAATTGTACTTGATAAATGAGCAGTGTCTCGCAATAGGAGTGGTATGTGCCACCGAACGTCACATGATTACAACTGAGCCAGAAGTTAGCTCTCTTTCTCTCTGCGTGTGTCTCTGTTTCTATCTCTGTCCCTCTCACTTGCTGTGGGATTCTGCGTGGCCATGGTCATCTCCCAACAGCAAGAGGTTATGGAAGAGATCTTGTCTGCAGAGGAGGAGGAGAAAAAGGCGGAGGAATCCTTCACTTCACATGAGATTAGGGAGGGGTGTAAAATGTGGGAGACTGCAGAATTTTGTAGAAAAGCACCACCAGAATAGGGCTGTAGCAGTGCGAGCGAATCTGTTTAATGACCACGCAATGTCACATTTCCACAAAATCCTCAAAAGGAAGCACAGCCGTTACCGGATAGTCTCCTTGTTAAAGTTGCATGAAAAGAGGGATTCCATTGAGCCAGTAGATAGCAGTGATTCCGTTAGTGAGGGTGAAAGTTGTTCTATACAATAACCCTCCTCTCATCTCCCTCACACAGGGCATGAAGATTTTCAAAGGAAAGTACAGGTTGATTTGTTTACTTTTCTTTATGTTTTGTATTTTATTATTTTGTATCTTTTTTGGTATCGTGTTTTGAACTCAGGACCTTGTGCTTATGAGGCAGGCTGTGGCATCACTGAGCTAAAATCCCCGGCCTGCATTGTAATCATTTTTATGTGAATATTTTGGGGTTGTAGAATGAATCATCTGAGTTTCCATTACATATGGAGAAATTCCCTTTGATATCCAAGTGCTTTGGATTATAAGCATGTTTCTGGGATGAATTACGCTCTCAAACCAAGGTTTTAATATATATTGGTCCGTGGATTTAGCTCAGTGGTTCCGACGGCTGCCTCGCAAGCATGAGGTCCAGAGTTCGATCCCGGGTACCAAAACCAAACCAAAACAAAAGCTTAGTATATGTGCATTTTCTGGACAGCCTGTCCACACCTCTCAGTCCCAGAAGTCTCGCTCTTTGACAGAGTGTGAGCAGGAGGAGCGGGGCCTAAAGCTGAAGATGGGCTTCTGAGAAGACAGCGTAGATCCGGGCACCAAAGGGAGCAGACGGGCGCCGCAGACCTCTGCAGCCCTTGTCAAAGGCAGGCTGGGTGGGAGGTGAGACCTGCTCTCCTGCCGCAAGTCTGGACGCTGGTGGGGAGGGAAGGGGAGCAAACCGCTTGTGGCCTGATGGGGGCAGACCGAAGATGGAGTAAAAAAGGATGAAATGTAACGGGTGTGTACCAGACGCCCTAGCTAAATGTAACCACTATGTATCGCAAATGTACTAATCAGTGCATAAATAGGATGAAAACAAGGGTTTTACTCTTCCAATAAGAAGACTTGAGTGCATTTTATTATTTTTATTTTTTGAGTGTATTTTAAATGTTAAGTGGCAAATGAAAAGAGCAGCTACCGATCTAAAAAAGGAGGTAGGCTATGGTGCACAGCTGTCATCCCAGCAATCTGAGAGGCTGAGGCAGGAAGATCACAGTTCTCAGTCGCCATTACTGGAAAAAGAAAAAGAGAAAAAGAAAAGAAAAAGGATGGGGCACAGACGTAGCTCAGTGGTAGGGGACTTGCCTCGCATGCACAGGGCACCTGATTAAAATTCCCAGCATGGCCATAAATAAATACGTTTGAAAAAGGGGTAAGAGTGGCACAAGACCTGGGAGGGCCCAAGAACAGATGGGATCTAAGCACAGAGAGAGCTGGACAGAGGAAGGAAGTCACGAGGAGTCTCAGGAGAGCTCAGGATGCAGGGAGTGGAGAAACCCCTGGGGCTTCTATCTTGAGGAAACAGAAGCTTAGATACCCAAGCGTGGGGGCAGGGCCGCAGACAGTTCGCAGCAGTTCCTCTGACCGTACTCTCCCCGAGAAAAGCCCTCTCCTTCCTTGACTTAACTTTTCTTTTCTTTTTTGAGACAGGGTCTCGCTATGCAGTTCAGGCTGACCTTGAATCCCTCAATGTAGCCCAGGCTGGCCTCCAACTCCTGGAGATCCTCCTGCCTTGGCCTCGCAAGTGCTGGGATGACAGGTGTGCTCCTCCATGCCAGGCACCAATGAAGCCATCTTAGTACCTGACGGGGTGCTAACCCTGGCTCTCCTGCCTCCTGGTTCTGTGATCTGTGCAGGCCCCTAACCACTGAGCTTCTCAGGTAGGAATCCATGCGGAGGAAACGGCAGAAATCCGGGAAGTTTGTGCACCTCGGCAGCCATCGTCTGCAGTCCCCGAGAAAGGGACAGGCCCCTAGGGGAAGAAGTCCCCTTGAGTGGAGCAGGGGATAGGGCCCAGAGAGGGCGCGGCTGCGAGCCCTTGGTCCCAGGACTCCCATCTGATGCACAGGGGCCGTGCGGTCTGGGGACACTAGGTGGCGCCCCTTGCACCTGGGGTCTGAACGCTCTCTGCCTGGCCGGCCCTAAGTGCACAGCGTCTCTGGCTTGTTGTTACACTGTCACAACTAAGCCGTCCGAGGGGATCTGTTTCTTTCCGGCTCTGATCCGGGCGTTAACCCCAATTGGCTATGCGAGTCAGTGCAGTGTCCCGGCCGGAGCCCTGCTGTGGCTTGGAGCCCGGCAGCCTTGTGAAGGAAGTGACCCGGCCGCTCTCATCTTGGAAGCCAGCTGCACGAGGGAGACGGGGGATGAGGAAGACAGCGGCCAGGCCTGGGTCACAAGGTCGGGAGACAGGAAACGGCGCGGGAAAGGCAGGAACGCGGCCTCGGGCCTCACTCGGATAACCCCAAAGGTGACGAAAAGCCAAACAAGGAGACGGACGCTGAAAGCTGGAAAACTTTGGGGGTTTCAGAGCTGAGGAGGGCAGCATCAGAGTTGAAGTTTAAGATCTGCCTGGCCAATCAGAGCCCGTGCTATCTTGAACGGGAGGAGAATTTCGCTTGCCTGTGAGTGGCTGCGAAGAAAAGAAAGGACTCGGGTTTACTGGTCTCCGCGCTGGGCAGAGCTCTCTCTGTCTCTGAGTAAACTCTGATTTAATTTAAAAAATCTACTACTGGATGTTTGTAGTGCGTAATGTTTACGTTCCTTGCGTAGTGTTGGTATGTGTACATAACACATCTTAATTCCTTTTTTAATAAAGTAACAATTTGTACTATGTATCAGAGCTGGAAAAAATATATATTTTGCACTTAAGAAGTTTTGTAGTCTTAAATATTTATCTATTTCTAACTCCATATCGCATGTGTCATAGGTTCCACAGCTTTGGTCCTGGAATTGATTTCACAGAGGTTTTCTTCTTCCCTTCAGGTGTGTGAATTGGAAACTCGCAGCGAGCGCTGGTCACCATCCGACTACACTTGCTGCTTACGGACTCAGGGCTCCTTTCGTTTCTGATTTTTTTTTTTTTTTTTTTTGTACTAGGGATTAAACACAGAGCCTTTGCACTAAGCTACATCCCCAACCCATTTTTATTCTATTTATTTATTTTTTAGATTCAATCCAACATGACACCAACCTTTACATTTATTGTAGACCTCATATTAGTACTAGAGGTTAGATTTTCATTATCAAAAAATGAGAATAACCTTACAGCTACCTACTAAGGTAATAAGCTGTGAAATTAATTCCCGAGTATTGCTTTGAAAATATACCCCTAGGTTGTTCAGAGAAACTCCACCTCCATCCAGATGTATTATTTAACTGGGATTCTTCAGCCATCATCTATGGTTGGCTTGATTGTCATTCCTCTTCTTATCTGACCCCAACCAATTAAACGCCAGTGCTTCTCAACTCTTCGGCTAAGGGCAATTTTCTCTCCCACTTCTGTGCACACAGGATTGGTCAGAACAATTTTGCCCAAATCAGCCTTGACAGCACCAACTCTCCTTCCTGTTGACAGAGATCCTATGTTGACCATGAGCACTTCATTCTTGGACAGCTTTTGGACCTTTGCTGGTTTCTTGTCCCCTTCAGTGCGTACACCTAGAAGCCGCCTAAGTAGGAAATAGGAAGTTTCTAATTCTGTGACTATCTCAGGTAAAGCTCCAACTGCACCAAGCACCTGCCCCACCATTCTGCCAGCTTGGCACAAGGTGGGGTCGATTTTTGTTTCAACTCCAAAATCTCTGAATTTTTTTTTTTTTTTTTTGGTACGGGGGATCAAACCCAGGACCTTCCACTTTGACGGCAAACAGCAGCACCACTGAGCTAAATCCCCTGGCTCTGTTCCAACTCCAATAAGATCCCCAGGAGCAGCATACTGAAGATCACTATGTTCTGCAAAAAGTGATACAATTTTGGAAAAGATTGGTTTACACATGAGTTTTCCTTCACTATCTTTGGAAACAATACCAGGCCTGACTTCTATTTCCTGGCCCACTTTCAATACTCCCTTTAGGATACTACCACCAGCCACACTTCCTTTAAGGTCATCAACTTCACAACTAGGTTTGTTTACATCAAATGACCTAATGACAATAAGTCGACGTTCTGAAGTAAAGTCTCTAGGAGGCACTGGTATTTTCTTTCCTATGTACTCACAGACAGCTTCAATACTGTATTTCAGCTGTGCAGAAATTGGAATAATGGGAGCTCCTTCTGCTACTGTACCTTGTACAAACACAAGGATCTGTTCATATTGTTCCTTAGCCTGACTTTCTTTTGCCAAATCAATTTTATTCTGTAGGATCAAAATATGCTTCAGTTTGATGATTTCTATTGCAGCCAGGTATTCAGAAGTCTGAGGCTGAGGGCAAGATTCATTACCAGCTATCAACAGGAGAGCTGCATCCATCACCGCTGCACCGTTCGGCATAGTTGCCATCAAAATGTCGTGGCCAGGACAGTCAACAAAGGAAACATGTCTGACTAATTTGAAGTTCCCTTTGGTCCCTGGAATGTCTGTAGGAAACTCATCAGGTGTACCACTTCCACATGACCTATAGCATTCTGGTCGAGGGCAACTTGGGTCATCGAGTTTATAAATCTTAGCATTAGCATATCCAAGCTTGATTGTAATGTTTCTTTCTAGTTCATTTTTGAACCTGACAGTGTGAACTCCAGAAATGGCTTTTACAACTGTGGACTTCCCATGAGCTACATGACCAATGGGACCTACATTAATTGTTGCTTGTCTGCTGATTACTTCATGTGAAAGTGGAGTCACCTTGGTAACATCCAAGGTGGCGAGATCCTGACGGGAAAGGTGTGGCTGTCCCAGAGTCACTCCAGCCTCACCCCCCCCACCACCACCCTGCCATCTTGCCTGGAGAGGCCCAACCCATTTTTAAACAATTTTTATTTTTAGTTTTTGGAGATAAGGTTTCTCTAAATTGCCCAGGTTGGACGCAGACTTTGGAGCCTCCTGCCTCGGCCTTCCAGAGTGCTGGGTTCACACTTAGGCGTGCACCACTGCACTTGGCTGGTTTCTCAGTTATTTTTTCTTTTCATATTTTGTGCTTCTTTTTAAAAAATTAATTGTATTGGTACATTTTAGGTATACAATATAATGAAATTCATCATTGGAAGTTTGCACCTTTACATAATCTCTGTTGGTTCTTATTTTTTCCCCTTCCCCTTGCCCTCCCTTTGACTCCTCCATCCCTCCCTATTTACAAAGACTTTCTTTCCATTTTTCCATCTTCTCCTATTAATTCCATTGGTTTCTCAGTTCTTTGAGATGCAGTGTCACTGGACACAGCCCCACTGCTTAGTCGCAGCATTAACTTCTATGGAAACAGGCTGGTGTCATTTCTGTCCCATTTTATATATTATTCAACAGGATGTAAAATGGGAAGCTGTGATTGGTGCAGGAGCAGACACGTAACTATGCAGTTATGAAGACTACATTGTAGCAATTTCTTTTTTTTTGGTACTGGGACTTGAACTCAGGACCTTGCGCTTGCAATGAGCTACATCCCTGGCCCCACTGTAGCAATTTCAAGGTAATGGTTGAGGGTCAGGCATTCACTTCTAGCATACAGAGAAGTCAAGTGGCTGCAGGCAAGAGGGGCTTTCAGAGGGGGATTTGCTTGGCTAGCGGTGCACTGCGGATGCCCTCAGATGCTGGCCTGTACCATCATGCTGAGTGAGAGGGTTTATTATGCCACAGTTAACAGTCAGAGAATAAACCATGGACTATGATATTTCCATTTTATGATACTCATTTTCAAGTAGAAATATTAAACTAATACATCTGCAATAAGTATGAGAAAAATAAAACCCAACATGTGTTGGGTCTAGCTAGAGCTATGCTGAGCTAGTACAGATGACTTTTTAACCTCCAGAACACCTTGAGTTCAGTGTACAGGCATCTGCCCAGAGGAGGGACTGAGTTTCAGAGTAGTCCTTGTGCATTTCCAAGTGTACGATGAAAAGCTCTTGCTGGGTGTGGTGGCACAAGCCTGTAAGCCCAACACTTGGGAGGCTGAGGCAAGAGGAATCACGGAGAGTTTGAGGTTAGACTGGGGGGTACAAAATGAGTTCAAGGTCAGCCTGGGCCACATAGTGAGACCTTGTCTCAGAAAAATAAAATAAAAATAGGACTGGGGATTTAGCTCAGTGGCACCCTGCCTGCCTGGCAAGTGCAAGTTCCTAAGTTCGATTTCTAGTACCTAAAAAAAAAAAAAAAAAGACATGGAGTCTCAAAAATAAAATAAAAATAAAACAAAATGAAACAAGAAGCTTATCTTATGTATGGTAAGTATAACTTGTTGATATTGCCTAGTAACAAATACTAAAAAAGTCAAATATAACCTTAGTGAGGCAGATTAGGGCATGGCAAACTGGCTGAGCAAGTGGGCATGATCTGTCAATAATTGAGATCCAGGAAAAACGTTCCCACCTGGGATCAATCAGAGAAAGCCATCTCCAATCTTCTCCTGAGAACTCAAGCAGGCCTTGGATAGGGCGGCCTAGACCGGACTCTGCCTGAGAAATACAAAAGATGGCACCATCGGGCGCTAGGCCACTGTTCTCCCTCTTTCACAGTGGTCTGCTTTCACCCTGCACAGTGGGCTTCTTTTCCTACTTTTAATTGGCCTGCCCTCCCTCTGCAGAGCATGTTTTTTCTCTACTTTTAGTAAATGTAAAACCTTGCTACCTGTTGTGCTTGTCTTGACCAGTATTTTGTCCAGGACAGAAAGAACCTAGAAACCGTCTCTGAAAAGAGACTCCAGAACCCCAGTATTTGATAAAAGTGAGATCTGAGGTCATAGTGTAATGGAGCCCACCACAAGCCTGAAATGTCCTTGAAGGCTTTAACTTCAAATCCATGCAAAATTTTCCATCTCAGAAGATGCATTAGTCTGTTCTGCAGGACTATAATGTGATCCTCAGGTTATACAGAAAGAGGTTATTTTGGCTCATGGATTTGGAGGCACGAAGCTGAGGGGCTGCGTCTGGTGGAGATATTTTGTGTGCGCACTAAGCTCACACTCAGCAGCTAAGCTGTACCCCCAACCTTGGTGCAGACCTTTCTGCCGGCAGAGCCCTGGGGTGGCGCAGAGCATCACAAGGCCAGAGACAGGGAGTGTGTTTGGCTGTGTGTCACCTCTGGTCCTTCCTACCAGGTTCAATCCCGATCCTGTCCCAACCCTTTATTGGATCTTAATTGCCTCTCAAAGGCCTAACTTCTACACATCTTGGTCAGATGAAATTTCTACTCACTTAATGTCTCATCATAGGGGTGAAATTTCAAAAGTTGAAGACTTGGGGGCACTGACACCACATCCGAGGTGCAGGACAAGGTTTCTCTGTACCTCTCCATGAACACAGTGGGTGCTGCTGGCCCATAAGTGGACGTACACCCACTCCCACATGAGGAGATAGGGTGCAGGCCTATGCCTGCTTGGTTTTCTGGGTTGTATTTTTCTGACGGGATCTCTGTTCTGTAGTTCAGTCTGGCCTTAAACTCACTATGTAGCCCAGGCTGGCCTTGAATTGGTTAAACCCTCCTGTCTCAGGTTCCCCAGGGCTGAGATTACAAGTATATGCAACCACACCCAGTTTAGTGTTGTCTTTTTTCTAATGATAAACAAGCAGTCAATAAATACATAAAAGATGCTTACTGTCATTAGGTATAAAGGAAGTGCAAGTGAAAACAATGGGATGCCTTATGAGGTGCCACACCCAGTGGAATGGCTGTAATAAGACAGAGACCCAGGTGCGTGGCCCACCCCTGTAATCCCAGCACCCTGGGAAGTTGAGGATTACCGTGAGTTCGACACCAGCCAGGGCTACACAGCGATAAAAACAAAAAGAAGGGGCCGGGGATTTAGCTGACTGGTGCCTCGCCTGCCTCACAAGCGCAAGGTCCTGGGTTTAAAAATCAAATCAAAACAAACAAAACAAGACAAGTCTGTCTACAGAGTTTTACCCCGAGGTGCTGCTGCTGTTTGGGCTGGTCGCTCAGAAAGACAGAACACACTTCACCGTTGGAGCAGCAGCGCTGCGGGAGACTGGCTCCCAAACTGAACTGGGGTTCTTCTCCACAAACACAGACCTGAGGCCAGTGCGATTTTAGCTTCCGGAAACTGGGCTCAGTCTCCTCAAATGCTTCTCATCAGACGGCTTGAGTTAGTGGCTGTCCCAGGACATTTTCCAGGCCTTCTGTCGGGGACTTGGGTTTTGTCTTTCGCCTCCCAAATCACACCTGAGGGGAAGAGCCAGGCAAGTGTAACCCCGGACCACTCAGGGCGAGGAGTGGGAAGCCCCAATATCACCTTGCTAAGAAAAACCCTCTTCCGTTCTTTTTTGGGGGGGAGGGGGAGAATCTCACTGTGTAGTTTAGGCTGACTTTGAACTCCTCCTGCCTCGGCCTCCCGAGTGCTGGGATTATAAGCGATCCTCCAGCCTGCTTAAGAGATCTTCAGAGCTTTTGGGACTCGGGGTCCTATTGGCTACTAAACCCCTGGTCCCTGGTCCTCCTAAGGACACCTCTGTGGGGCCCGCCCAGACGGCCTGAGCCGGGGTTTGGCCTGGGGGCGGGGCGCGCAGGTGAGCCGGGCCCAGGAGGCGGGGAGGGGACCGGCTCAACGCCGAGGGCCGCGAGGGGACGCGCGGGGCACCGGGCAGGGCGCGGAGCCGGGCCGGGTGCAGGTGGCCGGGCCCCGGGCCGCCCCTGTCTCCTCCCCCTGCGCTCCGCGCGCCTCCTCCCTCGCCGGTGCCGGCCGCCAGTCCCCCGGCTCCTCCCGCCGGGCCGCAGGAGGGAAGGCGCCGCGCGCTCTGCCACCCGAGGTCTTCGGGAGCGGGAGCGGGGCCGGGCCGAGCGCGGGAGGACGCCGCCCGCTGGGGCCGCGCTCCCGTCCCGCCCGCGCCACTTTCCTTTGTGTCGGATGCGGGGAGCGGCCTGAGGCTGAGCTTGCCGGCGCCGTCCCGGCCCCCGCGCCATGCCCTTCCCGCAGAGGACCGTGCAGCCCGCGCGCCGGCGCCCGCCTGAGCGCGCCGGGAACCCGGCGGGCGCCGCGCCGCCCTTCTGCTCGCTGGAGCAGGTCGCCGCGCACGCCCTGGTGCTGCTGCTCGAGCAGCTGGCCGACCTGTCGCGCCACGCCGGAGACATCTTCGGCGGGCTCGAGGGCCAGGCGGCCGCGCTGGGCCACCGCTCCGCCGCTCTGCACCGCCGCCTCGACGCCCTGCGCGCCGCCGCCGCGCGCCTGGACCCCCGCCGCGTGCAGATCCGTGAGTCGGGGCCGGGGGAGGGGACAGAGGGGTCCCGGGTGGCTGGGGCCACTGCTCCCGCCCGCCCCCTGGCGGCCCCGAGACGGCCGGAGGCGGGGGGCGCGCAGGTGGCGCCCCACTCTGGGCAGCCTGGGTCGGGGGCGAGGGCGGCTCGGGCCAGGGGCACTGCCGGCGGAGGAGCCTCGGTGGCTCACAGACGTGCCTGCAGGGTGCTCACGGCTCTCCACGGGATCTCAGCGAGCCGGGCGTCCCCTCCGCCCCACGGTGCCCTTACTGGACCTGTGTTCTTATCTGCAAAGTTCTTACTCTTAGTTCAGGGCTTTCCCTTTTGGCGCTGAGTTGTTTCCCCCAGTGCTTTGTGGTTCGGAGGCCCTTGACCTTGAGCCCAAACTCTGAATCCATTCTTCTCCGGCCTCCCTCGAGCCTGAGAATCGAGTGTGTCTTGACTGGGTAATCGCCCCACGCGTCTCGTTCAGCAGCCACGCCAACTCCGGTGAATGAAGCAGCTGGAATTTCCTGCTGCCCCAAAGTAGAGAAACTTGCCTTGTGAAGCGTGTGTGCGATCGCTCCCTTTTAAGGACTCGGACTGGGTCTTAATCCTTTGTGAAGAGCAAATTGGAGGTGGTTGATGGATTGCAGGGTGGCAGGGAGATACTGGTGTCACCCACGCCTAGATTTCAGTGGCCCTGCATGAAATGCCTCCCTTAGAATCACTTCGCCTGCAATCTTGAATAGGTTGTTTTCCACCTTGCTAGAAAAACTTAGCAGTGTTTTCAGCACCTTATAGCCGAGTTCATATTTTCAGTGACACTGTTCCAGTGAGATTGTTCGCTGTGATACGCCTCTGTCCAGGCTATGCAATGAGCTTGTGATGGTTTTATGTTTTTAACAGCTCACCTCGTTGGCTGTACCATCAAAACGTCCTCACGAGTTGTGGACAGCTCTGGACCGCAGAGAGTGGGAGGGAACAGGGAGGTGACAGAGTGATCGGTGGGAGTCCTTGGGATACGATCAGGATATAGCTCCTTGATGTGTGTGACGGCCTCATGCATAAGGATGTGTTGTTCTTGGCCAGTGTCCAGTCTGCACCGTGACCCCTGGTAGCTCCTTGGCACTTCTCTGTAGGATGTGTGTTCTTGCCCTGAACGCGAATTCCACCCGGGACGAGTGGTGATGTGCTGATTGATTGTGGGAATTAAAAAACAAGAAAGAACACAGTCTATTCCATGGATGAAGACACAAGAAAGCCAATTAAGATCTTTAAAATAAAAAGTAAGCAAGTAAAAGCTCCCTGAAGGTCAAGAATTCCTGCTTTGCTAGTTTTGTTTTGAATTTAAATGTATCACTTTTCTCTTTTTTAGGTACATATGTCCCAGTAGGCTATGCTGTTCATAGTCAAAAATCCCTCAAAAACATTTTATTTTTGAGGCAAGGTCATGCTATGTAGCCCAGGCTGGCCTCAAACTCAAGGTGATCTTCCTGTCTCAGGCTCCCAAGTGCTGGGACTACAGGCTGCACAACCAAACCCAGCTAAAAAAATTCTTTAAAAAACTTCTCTCAACTTTGTATGAATCATAAATGGCTTTGATTTCATACCAGAAATCCTGGGTAATCATTTCATTTAAATAATCATGAAGGAAGGGTTTTATTAAATATAATTATGCCTGAGAGTATAAGTGTACATACAGAGAAGAAAGCCAAACTGTAGGGACATTATTAGTTTTAGTTTTTTCTAACTTTTCACTTAACTTTTTTATATGCTGAAAAGCAGTGAGTTTCCTGTGCCTTAATTCTATTTAGTATCTGTTAGGATTCTTTTAAAACAGTGCCTCAAACCTTGCTCCTGTGTACAAGCTACATTTTGAAGTCATTTTGCTCCTGTTCAGGCAGGCCTTTGGGGCAGCATCCTCCATTAGTATATGTAGACGTGTGTACACTATTGGATTTGGAATTGACTGTAAAAATCATCTATTCATGAACTGTGTTCTCTTTTTTCTTTGAGATAGGGTCTGGCTATGTAGCCCAGGCTGGCCTTGAACTCAAGGTGATCCTCCTGCCTCAGCCTCCTGGGTGCTGGGATTACAGGCGTGTGCCATCACGTTCACATCTATTTCATGAACTCTTAACCAGAGAGGAAATCCAGGGCAAAAGTTGAAGTTACTCACCTGGAGACTGGAGGTGGGTTAACAGCACATCCCTCCTGCTGTCTGCTGCATAGCTGGCTTCCGTGGAGGAAGGAGTGTGTTGAAAGAGGCGGCAAAGTTTAGATGCGTCCCGTACACCCATGAAGGTGTTTGTGGTGGGTGATTTCACCTCTGATGTCAGATAAACCTGGGATGTGTCACCCAGGACCCAGCAGCAGAGCCCAGGGGCTTCCCCAGGCTGGAGGCCATGGATGGCAGGTGCATCAGCCGATGGGCCGAACCGTCTCAGGGCCATGTGGGGACCAGCTCGCCTCGCAGATGTGGGTTTGAGCCTCTACCCGGGTCTGTGGGCTCAGAGGTTAAGAAGAATGTGTCATCCCCCTTGCTGTCCTACAGATGTCATGGGCAGAAAGTCATCAGAGCCCCCGTCTGGCGGGAGTAGGGGGACTCACCTTGCTGCTTCCCTATTCATTGAAGATGCCAGCTTGGGCAGCAGTCTGCACCTTCGTCGAGCGTTTACCAGGCACTCAAACTGGTGTCTCGTCTGCTCACCTCCACCTCACACCAAGCTCCCTGAGGTCAAGGATGCTTGCATCTGTTTTTCGAGAGCTTATATCAGTGCCTGGAATGCAGTAGCTCAGTAGTTGTTTGGGCAGAACTAATATTTAGTTTCTTTCTTTATTTTACTTTGTTTTTTTGGGCCAGGGTCTTGCTACATAGCTCCCTCTTGGTGGCCATCCTCCTGCCTCAGCCTCCAGAGCAGAGTGCTGGGATTCCGGGCATGTGTTGCCATGCCTGGTGATATTTAGTTTCTTATTGCCTTTTTTTTTTTTTTTTTTAGGAAGAATAACTACTAAAACCTTAGTGAATAAGTACCAGATTGGTAGTTAAAAATCTTAAGTGAGCAAGACAATTACTTTAAAAAAATGTAAAGTTTATGCTTTTTTAAAGTTTTGTGCCAGGCATGGTGGCACATACCAGTAATCCCAGCACTTGGGATGCTGAGGCAGGAGGATTGCTGTGAGTTTGAGGCCAGCCTGGGCTACATAGCAAGACCCTGTCTCAGAAAACAAAAAACAAAAAGTTTTGTGTTCCACTGCCAATATCTCCTTTCTGTAAAGGTCAAATTTTATTAATTTAGTTGACAAAATAAGGCCTCTGTGAAAATAGTAACAAGAGCCAGAAATGTGAATAATTGTATCTGGTCTCTGTAAACAAGCGAAAGAGACTTTGCCTTGTAGAAATCAATAGACACTCAACAGTTGTGTTTCATTTTTAAGCCCTTTATTGAGATAAAATTCTCAAGTATACAATTCTTTCAATTAAGTGTACAGTTCAGGGCTGGACGAGGTGGCGCACACCTGTGATCCCAGCACCAAGGAGGCTGAGGCAGGAGGATCCCCATAAGTTCAAGGCCAGACTGAACTACATAGTGAGACCCTGTCTCCAAAAAAAAAAAAAAAAGAGTGTACATTTGTTTTTAGGACATTTGAGTTGTTTGACATCACCACAGTCCATTTTGAAGCTTTTCCATCAAGCCAGAAGAAGCCCGGACACTAGGCAGCAGTCATTCCCGTGCCCTTCAAGCCGTGCTGTCCCTGTGCAGTCTCTGATCTCCTTCCTTTTTTTTGCCTCCGTAGATCGGACTGCTGTGGACATTGCTTACAGCAGGCTCCTGGGCGTGTGTCTGTCTCACTCATGATTTGTTTCTTTTTATAATTCATAGACATACTCTGTGCATTAAAAGTGATTGATTGAAACGGGGTCTCACTGTGTAACCCAGGCAGGCCATGAATTTGTGATCCGCCTGCCTCAGCCTCTCCATTGCTAGAACCACAGGCGTATACCATCACACCTGGCCTTTTTTCTTTATTTTATTAAAATATTTTGTGAAATAGAAAGGCCAATAAGTATCATTATACCGGTACATTTTACAGATTTAAGGAGTAGAAATTCAGGAGCTACTAAGAGGTATACACAAAACACTGAATATTCTGATTTCTACTCCAAAACCTTACTTCACCTGGGACTAGGGGTGTAATTTAGTGGTAGTGGTAGAGGGCGTGGTTAGCCGTGGGCTCAATATTCACTACTGCAAACAAACAAAACCACTTCCTGAATGAGTGTGACATATAATTGTTGAAAGAGTATAAGAAAGAATGGTGTGTTGGCCTTTTCTACAAACAAACAAACCCCAAAGAAACTGAGGGTGGTGGTGCACACCTGTAATCTCAGCACTCAGGAGGCTGAGGCAGGAGGATCACTAAGTTCCAGGCTAGTCTTGGTTACATACAGTGTAGTGAGTTCAAGGCCAGCCTTAACTGTTACATAGTGAGACCTGGCCTCCATAAATAAAAAAGCAGTGTTTTCCCTTTGGATCCCAGGAATGTGTTGCCTGCCAGTTGAGGGGTTTGCTGTGTAGTACGACCATGGGGATTCTCTTCACACCATCTCGTGCTCAGCCCGGGCAGCTGTCCATGACGGCCCTGGCACACTGCATGTAATTTTTGGAGGTGAGACGAATCGAGTCCAAGACAGCTGGTTAGCTGCGGGTGGACCTCAGTGGTAGGGCTAGTGCCTTAGGTATGGAGCTCGGGGTTTGGTGCTCAGTACTCTCCGCCCTCACCCCAAGTCCTCATGTTGGCAGTGAGGCTGTACGCGTAGGCAGTGTTTTGCATAGACAGCTGTGAGCGCCAGGCGGCGGAGTGGGCGGAGTCTCCGTGTGACGTTCCAGGTG